CGACACAGGTGCGAAGAGTCACACTCACGAGAATAAAGTCACGCAGAAAAGAGAGATAATTCAAACACAAACGAGACAAAGGGGCAGCTGCTCTCGCTCGTCTTCCGTGCGTGCTTGTTTATTGTGGACGACATGACTGCTCTCAGAGTTGCTCAGTGAAATATCAATTATGCTATAATAATACTGTGTCGTGAAAAACGCAGTTTTGTCATACCAGAATAATTTATAGCTATTGTGAAGATTTAGGAGTCAATAGTAATTATTTCAAGTTAATACAGTGAGGTGTTCGTCAACAACATTTATAAATGAATTATGCATTAAAAGAAAGACGCCACTGACAACTAGTTTCTTTTCCCGATCGAGAATAGTTCTGCAAAAATATTTAAAAAGTTATTCCACTCACAGAACTAAATATCAATCAAGAACTAGTGTACTTGCTTTCAATGATGCATTTTAGCATTTGTTAGCATGAGCATCAACCCAAACAAAAAACGAACGCTTTACCACTGATGTATTAGATTGTCCGATAACTCCTTTCTCTCTTTTTTCGGCAAAAGTAGTGGGAAACTCGTTCAAACATTTTTGTGGTTAGCTTGAAGTGTCCAGATTAATGTTACTTTTCAGTTTATTTTAGCGCCAAACAACAAGCAAGGAGAACAGGAAGTTCGGAAGCCTCTCAAGTCTAACTCACTTTTTACTGAAGTAAAAACATGTCTGGCCTAAAAAAGATAGTTTACTCTTTGTTTTAGGAGGACATTGTAGCCAGGTTATCTTTTTGTTGATTAATCACACTTAAAAATGCCAGGCAAACAGACCGAAAAACTCATTTGTTTTCTTCTTTCTGCATTTAGGCCCAATCGGCTTTTTGAAATTAAAGAATAGAAAAACGAGAATATTACTTCCATTCTCAATTAAAAGCCAAAAGTTTTGCATCTCCGTACCTTTAACGTCCTGCACAAATGTCGGTTCAGGAACCACTTATAATAAACATTGGGGTCATTTCAACGGCATCCTCCGGAATTGTATTGAGTCTTTCTCAGGTTACACGCTATGTGTGGACAAACTCTCTGCATGTTCTATTTGTGAGGTAACTTCTCTTACAAACGATAAAGTCAATTTTTCTTATGAATTATTTAAAATGTTAATACTTGCAGAAAGTTCCCGAACCCTGACAGTATATATTACCGAGCTAAAGCTATCAGGGAGGAAGTTTGTATTCTAAACCACCTCACGAAGCTTCACTTCGTTTTCTTCATGAAGAAAACATCTTCAACATCCCATCTCAGTGATTTGTTTTGGAAATGTTTGAGAATCGTTTCCTTTTCATTTGAAAGGAAATAGAACCAGATGAAATTATAGATTACTATAGTAACCAAAAAAGGATTTCTTTTCCACCTTATTTCTTATGTTTATTCTCTGCAGTTAGCCTTCGCTACAACACCTTTACTGGCTAGATTTTCTAAATCGAAAGCAATTTCTAGCTAAACTGTAGCTAGCAACATGATACCTCTATATATCTACGAATTGCTCTAAAGTTTTAATCCAAATAAATATATACACGTCATTGATCTTGCATTGCATACTGAGCATGACCTCGTAAAGTAGATCGCTACAAAATCACCTGCGTAGGTGAAGCAGGGCAGGGAACCGCTATCATCTTTTGCACCGTAGGGGTCCAGAGGTTTGAATTAAAATGCTTTTATGCAATTTATAATGTTTGTCTTCCTTTATTATGAAAGTAATGCTACAGGCGAGGCAAATTTTCCAGTTGCAAAGCAAGCTCTGAAAGAAAGAACAGTGGGTTTTTTACTGATAAGTTTTCTCTTTTCGTCCATTTTTCCCCCACGCATTCCTTGCTGTTCCTTGTGTGTGTGTGTGTGATAGCCACTGAAGAAACTCGCCTAAACAAAAACAAATGTGGCGACATCACGGTTCCGTTTGCTTCGAAAACTATTTGAAAAAACAATTTTTTTTTGCAAATAGTTTGGCCTCCCTTCAATTGCTCAATAACCACCAATAAGCGAGCGAAAGAACATCCCGAAAACGATTCAATGCGCGTAATTTCAACTGAGCGGATTTTTGCTCAGTGGAGAAATTAATTTGAGTGTCGGGAGTCATCTGCAATGGTATTTTTCTGTATTAATTTGTTATAGGACTGGTCCGGAAAAATCTCACGCCACATTCTCAACCAGTTAGCAGGAAATTAAACCTAACCGCGAATAGAATGTATTGTGCAAACAAGAAGACAACAAGCTGCATTCAAGATGGCGTTTGCACCCTACTTGTAATTCGTATGATATTTTCAAAAACCGAGCGCCAGTCCCTTTCGTTCCAAACTAGCCGATGATAACGTGTCTTCTGATTGACTCGTCTTTGTTTTCTTATTCATCTTTTGCCGGTTTCACGCCTAAGCGTCATACTAGCGGTTCATACTTACTTAGCGTGTGGTTCGGTGTGTCTGCCTTTGAAATGTGTATTTTCTGATCGTACGAAAAGAGTATTAAAGTGCAAAATGATTTTATTTGGGAATTTTCTTCGGTAAATGTCCACAGAGTATTTGACCAAAAGAGGTACAAATCATGTTTAACTAGTTCCCAATGACCATTACATCCTTCCCTGATAGAATTTTAACACGAGTTTAAATAACAAGAATAAATGAACTGAATGTTAGAACTACAATCCATAAACCTTATTGATTTCATTTTGTCAGTTCATGTGATTAAATGCGATAAAATAGCCTTTAAAACTAGTAAAAATAAGCTGAATGCTAGATCTTGTCGTATACCCTCAACAGTTTTGGAAAGGACGACATCTCTGTTCAGTTGACTATTAATGTCTTTAACTGAAAAGCAAGATGTCCAGCTCTGCTTCCAGTGCAACTTACTGTCATAGTGCTGTTGTGCTTAAAGGTGATTTAACTTTTCAAACAGCTCAATTAATCGTGGGCTCAAGTCCTGGCAAGTCAAAGGNGAAAAAGTATCGCGCAATAAATTCTGAATTATAGCGCGATCATCTTATGAATTAAGTTATCGCGCGACATTTGAGTTCTATCAAGCGATACAGTGAGTGCTTCGCCTCTGAATAGCCAAAGAGACTGTGCGGTATATACTAAAAATATTACTCACCTCGGTCAGGGGAATAATTGAGACCTATTTTTGCAGCTTTTCTTGTTAAAAGCTACATTTTTTTCTCTTCGCGTTAAAAACTTACTACTTAAACATAAAAATTTACGAAAGGACGATTAAGTGTTGATATATTTGTGTTTCAATCAGCCTTTGAAGCAAAAATGCGTGCCTAACAGGATCGTCGAGGATAATACCTGTACTATTTTGATAACTACAAGGTAAATGATTATTCCTCTCTGGTAATTGTGGCTCACAAAAACTCCTCACCAGTCACTTCCGATTGAAAAATAGATCTTCCCTTTTCCGTCGATCCTCACGGTCATAACGTTTCGATTGCCACCATTCTTCTCGGTCAATATACTTATTACAGTCATATTTTGATCCTGTTGTATATCAGGTGTGTGTATCCAGGCGCAGACAGTAAAGCGTTCAATCCACTTCTTATTCATATCGTGTTTCACATAGTTCGTTTGCTGGGTTTTTCTGAAGACAAGCTCAAAGTCATAGTCATTTTGATTCAAAGGTTCTCCATTACCTCTGTTAAGGCTCGCTACAGTGGCTACAAAATGGAAAACATGCACAACTGTTACACCAAAAATGAAATTTTTTGGCCACACTCTTTGCTACTCGGCTTGTTTTCAGAAATTATTTTTGAAGACTTAATTTCGCTTAGATTTTACGAAATGTTAGTACAATGAGTAAATTGTGAACTGGTCTACTCGTATTCATTAGAAGGCCTTCTTTCTTCCCTCTTCCCCCCCCACTCCACATTGTGCGCACGTTGTTTGTTTGATCCATTTGGCCTCAGATCTCCCGCTGTCAAGAAAACGATTTGAACGCAAACTAATATTAATGAGGGCTTTGTGTCAAAAATTGGATGTTTTAAAAGCTTCATATTATCAACATGCTTTTGGTTTTTCAAAATTGGTATGGAATTCGCTGCATTTGGCTACTCTAAAGCCATTATAATGGGTGAAAGGTTGAGTTCTTGGGATCCCTTTCTAGTGGAAGAGTGAAGTGAAAAGATGAAGTTTACTACACTCACGGGCCGCGTTGTAGTCCGTACTCTGCTCCTCCGCTATTGATTCTGAACAATTTTTTCCTGTGAATGAATCCGTACAGTTGCATGTGTAGGTTTGTGCACTGGGTGCCTCTACACACGTTCCACCGTTTTTACAAGGATTAGCGTTACAATCTGATAAATAAAACAAGACTGTATTGTAAGTTTTGAATACTTCTTCAGATGAATCTTATAGCGAATCGTTGCAAAGCAAGATGTAATTTGGTAAGTCTTTGTGATTGGTGTATTTTTCTGTTTTCATCGTCGTCATAATGATTGGTATTTGTTTGTCTTCGTCGCCGTCATAGTGATCGTTATCTTCATCATTCTCGCTGTTCACATTGTCATCAGAATCGCCACCGTGACGTCACAAAACAAACAGTAAGACTTCAAAAAAATTGCAAAGCATTATAGAGGAGAAAACTAGTGAGCGTCTTTATAATCAAGCCCAAATAGAGCCACAATCTCCACATTTTCTCTCCTGGCCGCATCCTCTCCTACCTGAGATGGAAAAATCGTAGGAGTCATCAACCTTCGCAGCTTACTGACATTAGTGTGCATATTCTCTATACTGCTCTCTGTACATTTCCTGTAACATTGTTAAGGAGATTTGATTGAACGATCACGAACTCCTCAAGTTGTTGATCAGAGCCCAGTGGTTCGAAGGCCGATTAACACTACGTACCCAGGGTTAAATTTTAATCTGGGTTTCTTTAATCCTTTGTT